GCTCCCACGGATCGCCCCCGCAGAATCCTTCTAGAAGGCCTATCCAACGGCCGCAGTTTGGCGTTAGGGTTAGATCGACGGTGGACGTTTGGCGCTAGGGTTACATGCGTTTTGGAGGCAGTCAACGGGGTTTTGAAAGGTTTGACTGAACATTCAAATGTGTATAACTAATTCAAAAAAAAATCTAAAAAATGAAAACCTCCGCATATAGTCTTTTCATGTTACATAGTTATGATATAAAATGATAAACTTGATCTAATGATCTTTGCATGAAAAAACCTTCACAAATTGGACTATCTCGACTGAGGTTGCATAGAGTTCAAAGGAGTGAGAAGAGGGTTTGAGGTTTTGAAAATGCAAAAAAATCAAAAACCTCACCTTAGCTTCATTTTGGAGTGACTAAGGAGGATCTGATGTTATTTTTGCATTTTAAATTTTTAAACTTGTTTTATTGCTGACTTTGTATTAAAGGGTGTTTTTTCAAAAATAAATTAAATAATATGAATACTTATTCAAAAAAAGGTGAGACTTCGTATTGATCCTATATAGGTATAATATAAGCTAAGAAAATCTTTTTGGGTGATTTTGAGAAGGTCGAAAAAAACTTGCTTAAAAATGGGGCCGTTTTCCCATCGGCTTACTTTGGAGCCTATTTGGACAACATTTTCAGTGACTATGAGTTGGACTTCACAAAAAGGGTTGGATTTATGTACTAAAGTGCATAGTAGTACATAAAACAATGCAACATCACAGAATAAACAAATGAACCCCAAATATATTGGAGATAGGTTGAAATTTGAATGTCGGTTCAAATTTGAATTTTATTTCATGTCAAATCAACATCATAGCACATAAGTTTTCACATGAAAGAACATAAGTTTTCACATTAAATGACAACAAACTTAAGTTTTCACATCAAATTTGAATGATTTCGACTCTATTTCTTTTGCTTCTTTCTACCACTCGATTTCTTCTCCTTTTTCCACTGTTTGGTTCCACGTCGCATAGTTTGTTGATGCTGATGCTCTTGCTTTTTGGCCCCTTGGTTTTCTTGCCAACTCCACTAGCCCCCCTCAACTTTTGCACCTGACCATGTCCCACTTCTTCAGTTTGCACTTCTGCAGATTGAGTAGAAGGCACACATTGTTCAACTACTTCAGTTTGCAACTCAACACTTGGCAACACAACCTCCAAACATGGCAACACAGCTGTCAAAGCAGATTCGCATGACAACACAACAGTTGCTTCATCTGCAACAGTTTCAGATTGCCCTAGCGCCTGCAAAACAGATTCAGTATGCATCACATCGTCCAAAACAGAAACACTTAGCTCATGTTCAGCAGTAACAGTTTCAGTTTGCTCCATATCTTTGTCACCAAACATTATCTGCTTAGTGCTTTTCCTTCTAAAGCCATTGAGTCTTGCTTTTTTCACTGGCTAGCATTGTTCAACAACAAGAGGTGGGCGTTTTTCAGCAGGCTTCCTCCTAAAAAATAAAGCATTTGACTTGGTTAGATACTAGAACAAGTAGCAAAATCAAAAACTTGCAAAAACAGTAACAGAAACATACTTTGGCCTCTAAGGAGTGTAGATGCATTTGGATGAACCAATTCTGTGCCCAAGTACCTCACACAACTTGCACCTATTTTTGTTACCTTTTTGAGCCCTTTTGGGCTTATCATTCTTTTCCTTTTCCCTTTTCCCCTTCTTACTACAACCACCTTTCTCAAACCAAGCTTTGAATCTGCTCTGTTTTGGCCTCCCAACCTTTCTTCTAGTGACAAGGGGACACCAGGTAAATTTTATTTCCACCTCAGGCCACTGAGATTGGTTAGTCAGTGCAGGAATTGGACTTGGATATGCAGCTTTGAATTTTTGTACTGAATAATACTCATGCAAATATGGGTGCATATTTAACCTGGGTTTAGATGCCAAAAAAGTATGAAATGCTCACATGGTTTTCCAGTGTGTTGCCACTCTTGGAAAGTGCACTCATGCAACTCAGTATTTACCACATGCCTCTTGCCACTCTTTGTATCTCTAACTTCAGCACCCCACAAGGAAGATTTCTCAATAGATAGATGTGAGAGATTTCTACTCCTGTTGACCACCTGTTGTACCACTGCTGGAAGCTTGTCCCCTTCCAAAATATTAGCAATTTTTCCTCTCAACTCCCGCAAACGCATGATCATGATCCTTATTTGGTCCACCATGTCATCCACAGGCAAGTCTTTCAAATCCTTCACTTTGTTGTTAAAACTTTTTGCCAAGTTGTTATTGATATGATCACATTTTATGGCAGTATTAAAACCTGATCTATACCACAACAGATAATGGTGGGTGTTCAACCATGAAGCAAATTCATTATCACTACATGATGCCAATATCTTACCAAGGTGATAGGAATGTGTCTGTGTGGTGTAGGATCTTGCTGCTGGCCACATGCGCCCAAATTCATCTCTTCTGAATTTTTTTATCAGATTCATCCACATATGTCCAAAGCACTCTCTCTGCTCAGCATGGGGGAAAACATTTTTTACTGCATTTTACAACCCTTTACATGCATCTGTGTGGATGGCCAAAGGAGAAACTGGCCCTATGCATCTTTTCAGTTGCATCATGAACCATATCCATGATGCCTCTGTCTTTGATTGAAACATTCCTATTGCAATTGGAAACATCCAGTTGTGTCCATCTAGAACATTGCATGCAGCCAACTGACCATTCCACTTTCCAGTCAAAAAAGATGAGTCTATGCTCAAATATGGACGACAACCTGCTTTGAATCCATCTATGCAAGGCTTCAAACACATAAAAAACGTGCTGAATAAAACCTTGCCATCCTTTGTTACCTCTGTATGTATCTCCACCACACTCCCAGGTGACCTCTTCTCCACCTCTGCTTTAAAACTATACAACATCCTAAATGTATTTGGTCAGTCACCATACAATGATTTCATGGCCCTTTGTTTTGCTTTCCACACTGTGGTATATTGCAGGTGGATGGGGTAGAGCTTCTCCAAGTCAACTTTAAGCATCTTTGCAGTAGTGTTTGGAGTCTTGGCTAAAATAGGAGTAATCTTCTCTGTAACCCAAAGCTGTGATGTCATCTTTGAAAAACTCTGTGAAGTGGTCATACATGTATCTGGTGTGGTATTTGATTTACCCTTACTGTACTTCCATCAGGTTGTAGTCTGGCAGACAAGTACCATTTGCAAGGATTGCCACCACCATCATAACCTTTGCACCGAGCATAAATTTTTTTCAACCAGTCCACATAGTCTTGGCATCAAACTCTTTTTTCACTGCATAGGTCCTTAAAGACATGCTAAACTCCTTCATGCTTGGCCACAACTTTCCCACCTCAATAACTGGGTTCTCTTTGTCATACAAACAAACCAGCTCATTATCGTCTGCATCATCCACATCATCTGTAGCCTCTCTCATCAGCTGGTCTTCATCCTCATTTGCATTTCTAGGGCATGTGTTACCATCAGCAGGCAAAGAACTGCCATCCTTCTCATTATCTTTGTCATCACCTTGAATGCCAAACATTTCGGCCATATCAATGTCAGATATTGGTGTAATGACCAAATCTGTTTTTTCATTCAACTCTACTACATTCCAGTCAACAACAATCTTCCTAGCACCATGGTTTCCCTCCTCTCCATATGCATCAATCCCTGTATTTTAAGCTACTACAGTCGGTTCAGTCAACAATGCCAACATCTTCTTTTGTGAAACCCATTCATCATCTTCCACCTGTGCAGCCATCTTTGATGGCACATAACCAACACTGGAATGAGTTTGCAGATCAATTGCCTCTGCACAAAATGTTACTTGTTTGCTTGCCCACCCTTCTTGCTGATCAATTTCAGCAACCATGGATTCTCCATCTTCAATTCTCACATATTCACCATTATAGTTATCGGAACGTTGCAGAGATACCTCTTGTTCTGGACCCCAAACAATAATGTCCCCAATTCTCTCCACCAATTTGCCCACGGCCTTCTCCTTCATGCTCTCCAATTCCTGGGGATCAACATCTGCAAAGTCGACATCCAACCTCATGGTGGTATCTCTATCAATGTCTTGGAAACTGCCATCACTGAGTATGGCTTTACAGGGAAAAAATCCACTATAATTGCGAATGTGGTGGTAGAACCTGAACCTCCCCTGTTTTGTCAATGGCAGGCAGCGGCGGCAGTGTAAGCGACAGTCACTACCAAATCGAGTTCAATTCTAAATCACGAAGAAAACAGGGTGGCATTACCGATTTGAAGCACTGTCTCCTCGCTTCATCTCATCCAGCCCTCGCTCCATCTCCTATCCAATCGAGATTCTAAAACGCCAAGAAACAGGGGCAGCATGAGGCCACAGATTTATCCAAAATTCAGTGGAATGGAAGTAGTGTTTGGAAAATACTCACTCGCAATAGCCGCTGCAGAGAAAGGTGCTCCACCACCGGGCCGCGGAGAAGAAACAGCCCCCGAATCTAATAGAGCCCGATTCTAAATCGCCAAGAAACAGAGGGGCAGCATGAGGCCACAGATCCCCCAAAATTCTAGGGAGTGGGACTAGGGTTTCGGGCTCACCTCGCAATAGCTCTGCCGCTGCCGAGAAATGCGCTCCACCACCGCGGAGAAGAAACCGCTGCCGGAGAACATGCTTACGGCGGCGCCGCTCGCCCATTCCAGCACGACAAGTCGAGCACGGTCACATAGTCACCGATCGAGCCGTGAACGGTTGACTCTTGACTACGTGGCCCTAGGTGGACCCCACCAGTCAAAGCACATAACCCCCAGTGTCCTAACCAAACCTCAGGCTAACTAACAGCCAACTAGCCGCGTAAATGGGTTGTCTTGCTTGAGCTATTTATGCGATAGGAGACGTCACATGAGAGCTATTACAACCAACTACGTCCCATGAGAGACAATTCACACCAACGACGTCACATGGGAGCTATTTGTCCCATGGATGGGCATAGACACATTGGCTAGCTACTTGGGCGGCAGCATGGACTTGGCGATGGCGACGAACATCCCCTTGTTGGCAGCGAAGCGGGCGTGCAGCTGCGGCCTGTCCGGCAGGCACGCCCTCACCTTCTCGCCGGACACATACTCCTTGGCCCAGCGGCAGAGGCGAGGGAACTCGTCCTCGGTGGCCAGTCTCACCTCGGCGACCTCCTCGAAGACGCCCAGCCAGTGTGCCAACCAGCAGGCGGCGATGTCGACAAGACCGATGGCGTCGCCGCCGAAGAACCGCATCCCTTCCAGCTGCGCCTCCAGCAGCGCGAAGTTCTCCTTTGTCTCCTTCACAAACCCCTCCTGCGCCTCGCCCTCCGCCCACAGCGCCAGCCAGTAGGCCTTCGAGCACTGCACAGTGCAAGCAAAAATTCAGCAGTTATCTTATCCGCGACTGAAGAAGGACGAGGACTGAGGTGTGCGTCCAGCGTCGGGTTGGTTGCCTACCTTGCCGTCGATGAAGCTGGCCCAAAAGCGGGCCATGGCCCTCTCGTAGGGGTCGGCGGGGAGGAGGGGTGGGCCAGGGAAGGCCTCGTCGACGTACTCGACGATAAGGAGGGACTCGCAGACGGCGCGGTCGCCCTGGAGGAGCACCGGAACCTTCTTGTGGACGGGGTTGTTGGCCAGAAGCAGCTCGCTTTTGTTTCTCAGGTCTTCTGGGATGAGCTCGTAAGGGACTCCTTTCAGGCGCAGAGCGATCTCGGCGCGGTGGCTGAACGGGCTGTCCACTGCGCCGATCACCTTCACGGCCGCCGCTGGGGAGCTCATCGTCTCGGCCTAGCTCGCTCTCCTGCAAATCAGGTGTAGTACATAGTTCGTCAGACTGAGCTCTGGGAACCCAATGACTGGTATTTTATACCGGCGCTGGGATATGGGATTTAAACTTTTCCAGGAAGCTGGAACATATTTCTTGTTAAGATCTCCAGTCAAATGGTTTTGTTCCGGTGCTTCCGAGAAGTTTCCTCGGTGCTTCCTCCTTCGGCGCTTAGTGATTAAACATTGTAAAGTGCAACCGATTGTAGGCGCATAGTGGAGTAAGTCATATCAAAATGTTTTTTCTTAAATGTCACATCTAAGTTTTTAATTGTTGGATCTATCGTGCATCATTGATTTTCGTGGCCATTGTCTTTTTTCTGTTGGTCCGGCCTCTCGTGGCACTGGCCGGCCTCTTTTTTTTTTCTTGGCTGGGTTGTGACTTGTAAGATAAGATTCAAAGAGGCCATCCCGGTTGTAGTTACGCTATTTTGTCCGAGTTGCAATCCACCATTATATACTGGTCGTCAACTTGTGCAACTGCACGGGTTCCGGTTGTTGCAACGGAAAAATAAATTACTGCACACTCCCAAGCCACACATTCTTGTTGCCACTACTCCTCTTTGTCACTGTTGACACTAGATTTTGGCACTGTCAAAAACTTATTTAAGACGGCCTCAAATGGAGAAGTGTTCTACATGAAAGAGTACCGTATTGTTGATATGATCATCTTTTAAGTTTGGGTCATCGCCATCCGATTTCATCTTCAAGGTCGAAACTGTGCTCAAAGTACTAAGATCTTATATTCGGAGTATCATTTGTCTAATTAAGCCCCGAAGAAAACCTGAAATGGAAAAATGATCTACATGGATTGTCTTCGTCTCGTCGAAATGATCGATTTTGATATAAGAAACGTCTAAATCAGAGTTCGTATGCAAAAGTTAGAGCCAAAACAGTGTGCTACAAAATTTAGCCCAGAAGTTCCGGGCAAAACTTGCGGGGAGGTTCCGGGCTGAACAGAGAGTTCGCACGCGATTCGCCCCGAAAACTGGAATTTTAACATCATTTGCAGATTTGCGGGCCAGAATTCAATCTCAATATGGCCTCAATGAAAAAGTGATCAACTGAAGAGGTTTTTTTTCATTGCAAGATCTACAACTTTGCTTTTTGGACCATCGCGATCCGAGGCCATGTGGGACCTGCATGAGCTGTACAAGAGGGCTACTTGATGTAATTTTAGCCCGAAAGTTTCGGGCTGGCTGGAAGTTCCGGCCCTCGTAGTCCGAGTTAGGTTAACTTTTAAGGTTTTGGACCAGATTTGAGTCCTTTTTTTGTACGGAAAGTCCAGCCGCCTCATATATACGTAAGGGGTGACGGCCGATTGAACAACACACAGTCGGCATATCAATCTATCATCTTTTCACTACTAGGAAAAGGGCTATAGATGGAATGGCCAATAATGGCGCACCAGACATGTGGTGCGTCACCACTATATAGCAGTGGCGCACACTAATGGCGCACCAGACACATGGTGCGCCACTAGTAACAATTATTTATTTATTTTTCCACATACTAATGGCGCACCAGGGGCACAGTGCACCACTATCATATTCTTTTTTATTCTGTTTTTTGGCAAAACTACTAATGGCGCACCGGAGAATAGTGCACCATTACTAGTTTAAAGTAGTAATGGCGCACTGTGCCCCGGTGCGCCATTAGTATATATAATTTTTTTTTGCAAAACTACTAATGACGCACCACGAGCTGGTGCGCCATTAGTAACCAGGGTTACTAATGGCGCATTTGTAGGTGGTGCGCCATTAGTAACCTGGGACCAGCTAGATATTTTGGACAGCCACACCTACCCACTCACTTTCCCCACTTCATTCTGTCCACCTCCTCCTCCAAGATTGTCTCGGCTGCCTCCTCCTCCTCACCTCATTTGCACCATAGATTCATCCAAATTAAGTGGTTAAATTACCTTTTTTTGATATGTAAGTAAGGGGGAAGCTATCTTTATGTTGTTCTCCCTCCAACAACGTGCACATGCACTTTTTATGGCCTAGCTAGATCTATGTATGTTCGTGGTGTTGCATATGTTTGTGGTGTTGCATATATGTTTGTGTTTACAGGTACCGATATTTGAAATATGATAGTTGCCAATATTTTGCCGGAATGTTGATTCATTTCCGTTTCGGCGAGAATTTTGGCACTATGCATTCTTTTGGTCCTATTTTTAGGGAAAGTCATGCCGAATTTTTTCTTGGTTCTAAAATATCGTTTTGCTCCACCCCGCAGGCGAACATGGTCCGCACGATGACCGAAGGCATCGTGAATAGGTTTTTGAGCTCCGCAAAGGCTGAGATGCTTCAAAAGAACGAGACGGAGACAAGATGTCCGTGTCGAAGATGCAAGCTGAAGAGCCTTATTGCGGACCCGGATTCCGGGCAGGTGCGGGACCACCTGCTCTTGCGTGGTTTCATGGATGGCTATCGGTGGCAAGGTGATGAAGATGACTACGAAGTCGTCCATGGGGGTCGGGCAAGAAATGAGGAAGGGCAGCAAGACAACCACGGCGGCTCGGGCGGGCGAGAAGACGAAGAATCTCCAGGACATGATCACGACGGTGATGCTGTACACAGTCATCATGTAGAAGATGCAGGACATGATGATGAGGAAGATGCCGGAGCAGACGAAGGGCATGATCATGAAGATGAAGATGCCGGCGGAGCAGACGACGATGGACCATCGATGGGCTGGGTGCAGGACCCTCATATTTAAGAGCTGCTTCTCAAGAAGACGGATAACGCAAGAGCTGCCGCCCGAGAGAAAGCCAAGCTGGATCAACTGGAGATAGACGCGGTTACTCCATTGTATGAAGGATGCAGGCCCGAGGATACCCGCCTGAAAGTAACGCTCATGGCTCTGGATATGAAGGTAAAACACAAAATGACCGACGCATGCTTCGACAAGAACATGACATTCTGGCGCGAACGTCTTCCCAAGGGGAACAAGTGCCCGACCATTTTCGAGGAGGCGAAGAAAATGGTGTGTCCTCTGGATTTACCGCACGTGAAATACCATGTGTGCATGAACAATTGCATCATTTATCGGGACAAGCACGCAGAGTCTACCATATGTCTGGTGTGCGGCGTCACTCGATACAATAAGAGGAAGAAAGCTCCTCGAAAAGTGGTGTGGTACTTTCCGGTCACTCCTCATCTGCAGCGGTATTTCACGGACCCTAAGGTAGCAAAGCTCCAGCGTTGGCATGCGGATAGGGAGGAGAAGAAGCCAGAAGATGACGCAAATGATCCGGAGATAAATAAAAAAGACAAGATGCTGAGTCACCCTAGGGATGGGAGTCAGTGACAAGCGTTGAAATTTGAACACAAAATATTTGGGAAGGATCCAAGGAACATCGTGCTGGGCGCGAGCACCAATGGAGTCAATCCGTTTGGCAGCCAGGGAAGCACACATATCACCTGGCCTGTGTTTGTGTAGATGTACAACCTTCCCCCCTGGTTGTGCATGAAGAGGAAGTACATTCACATGATTATGCTAATTGAAGGGCCGAAACAACCAGGGAACGACATCAATCTGTATCTGGGGCTGCTGAAAGAGGAGCTAGACACGCTGTGGAAAACACCAGCCAATACGTGGGACGCCGCACAGAAAGAATATTTCCCTATGAGAGCCGCACTGCTCACGACGGTGCATGACTATCTCGGTTACGGATATGTCGCGGGGCAGGTGGTCCACGGATTTTCTAGATGCGTTAGGTGCATGGATGACACAACGTATCGCCGGCTAGATAGTAATCCCGGGTCTTCTAAAACCGTGTTCATGGGACATCAAAGGTGGCTTCGCGATGATGACCCGTGGAGGAAACGCAAGGATCTATTCGATGGTGAAACCGAACCCCGAAGATGCCCGCGTACGAGGCGCGGCGAGGAAATAGACGAGCTGTTGAAAAATTGAAAAGATTATCAACTGCCGGGAAAGAAGCAAAAGGCGCCAGAGCCAGGAAAGAAGCGAAAGGCGCCAGAGCCGCTGCTGAAGGTATGGAAAACAAGGTCTGTTTTCTGGGACTTGCCGTACTAGAAGATCCACCGTGTGCCTCACAACCTTGATGTCATGCATATCACGAAGAATGTGTGCGAGAGTCTGCTTGGTACCCTGCTCCAACATGCCAGAGAGGACCAAAGATGGGCCGAAAGCAAGGGCAGACTTGAAATCAATGGGCATCAGGGAGGAGCTTCACGCTAATGATGATGATAATGAGGCGAAGCAAGACACGGGAAGTCATCGCAAAGGCAAAAAGGCCAAGAAGACCAGAAATGACTACCCTCCCGCGTGCTTCACTCTAAGTCAGGAGGAAATCGATCAGTTTTTCACCTGCCTAGTAGGAGTAAAACTTCCTTACGGTTACACGTGGAAGATAAGCAGATACCTAAACCCAGTGAAGCAGAAGTTCAGCGGGATGAAGTCTCACGACTGTCACATGCTGATGACGTAGATACTTCCAATTGCAATCCGTGGGATCATGGACGCGCACGTCCGTGAAACGCTATTTGGCCTATGCAACTTTTTCGACGTCATCTCTCAGAAGTCGGTTGGCGTGAGGCAACTCAGTAGGCTACAGGAAGAGATAGTGGTGATACTATGCTAGCTTGAGATGTACTTCCCGCCCGCATTCTTCGACGTTATGGTGCATCTGCCGGTCCATATCGTGGAGGATATCATCCAACTCGGGCCGACGTTCGTGCACAGCATGATGCCGGTCGAAAGAATGAATGGTTTCATCAAAGGATACGTTCGCGACATGTCACGTCCAGAGGGAAGCATAGTCAGGGGCTTTCTGACCGAAGAGTGTATCTCCTACTGCATGAATTATCTAGGCATCGAGAACCCCGTTGGTCTACCCGTCAACAGGCACCTCGGCGGACTCGCTGGATGGGGTCACCATGAGGGTCGCCGCGAAATGCATGTCGAATTCGAGGGTCGACTCGCCG